GTGTCATTAATGTTGCTTTTTTCAGATGAAAAAACCCAATCAACTTGTATATCAAAACAAGCAACATCAATTTCTTGACAACCTAATGTTTATGGGAGCACATGAAGTACCAAATGCTGAAAGTATTAGGTCACACCTGTAACAAAGAGTTGGAAAAATGCTAAAATTCTTATCTCAAACACATGCTGGGAAGCAAGAGAAATACTAAGTCTGAGAGACTGAATATTTGTTGAAGCTGCTTTATACCTTTCCAAAAATAATCAAAACCATTTAAATTACTCATAAATATTTCAAATTGCATGTTTAATATGACAATGTGAACATATTTTTTTATTCAGTAAATCTATAATATGAAAACTAAAAACATACTTTAATACAAATCCATTTAATAATCATTGAATATTTACCTACAAAAAGCTGTCAGACTTCCAATCTTTCCCACAATTTCACAAGTAATCCTATTCAGCTTACTTACTTTAATATGTCTATAAGGCTATAGTACACAAAGATATAAGTTACATAATATATTTGCCTGCATCTTTTACCATTTTTTCTTTTGGCATCAAATCAGTAAACATAACATTTTGCACATTGGGTTTCCTGAACTTCAAAGATACTCAAAAGTTCACTGTAGAACTAAAATATAAAAGTTCTTGGAGTTTAAGACATATCCAAATTTAAAGCTAAGTAATTATTATGTCAAATGCAAATATAAAACCTACTATGAAAGGCTAATGTAGTATTTATCTGGAAAGGTATTGAATAAAGAAAATAAAATAGAGATTTTTAAATTCTAAGACTATTATTTTGTAGGGTATTCAAAATTCTAATAAACAACGGTGAGTAAGATCTTCTGCAATATCTTATGCTTGAGCCACAGGAGCCAATAACTCATGAACTTCCAGAAAGTATTGAAACTTGATATATTGTTTTCACTATAGTCTAATCTATATTAAAAATTATTATTTTCTTTTTGCACATCATTTTCTAAAAGTTATGTATTACTATTCAAAGTATTTGTCACTTCACTATGTTTACTACAAAGTTAAAAAACAAGAAGAAAAACATACCATTAAGTGAAGGAAGCACATCAATGTAGGCACGATATAAAGTAGGTAGGGCATCATGGTGGATGTGAAGTTGTGGAAGGTTGGGGATAAAGTCATTACCAACCAAAAAACCCATCAATACCCAATCATCAATAATATTTTCCAAATTATATTCAAATGGCAGTGATTTCTGAAAATATCATAATGTTTAATTCTGTTAATACATTTCAGCATATTACATAAAAATTCTAGTATGTAGTAAATTCTGCAAATTTTAATGTGCATTTGAAAATTATCATTGGATAATTAAATTAATAAAGAAAAAAACAACAGAGAAAAATACTTATGAGTACACATTTTTAGATATTTGTAGTTATTTCATCTATAGATTCAAAGTTGCTATCACTGAGTTCAGGTCGACCAATTGAAGGAATTATTTTAAGGCACTTGGATCTTAGTTAGAAAACCAGTTAAATTACAATAGTTATAGGACATTGTTTGCTTTGTGTTCGTAAGTGCAAATTTCAAATAAATAAAAACTGCTTTAGTTACTACTAATATCATTACAACAAACTATGGCTATGGTTTGTAGGAGGGCCAATAGCAAAAAACAAAATGCCAAACATAAGTACTAAATTTCTTGTTTTTTATGTATATTTTTTACTTACTGTCATAAAAAGAACTCAAATGTAAAATTCAGAAACTTATTAATTTAAGTAAGGTAGATAAAGAAAAAATAATGAAAACATTTCTGAATGAGAAATGCTTGTGAGAAGCTTGTGCATTATATCATTCACTACTAAATTTGGGCTATGCATTCACTGTGTGATTTACAGCTTCTATTTAGAATTATTAGACAGATATAGTTCAAGGAGCAATAAAACAATAAAGTTAAATAAAAACAAGATGTCAAGTGTCACGAGCTTTAAGGTACTTGAGAAAAACAATTTTCTATTACAATCTGCAGTAATTCTAAAAAGTTTATAGTATTTCACTCAAAGCTATTCAAGGGCCATGTGCAATAGCTATCCCTAACTTAGAAGTAACAGACTAGAGGGAAGACAGCTAATCAAATCTACCAACAACTCTTGGGTTACATTTTACCAATAAATATTGGGATTGACCATCACATTATAATGCCTCCATGAATGAAAAGGCACGTTCAGTAATGAGATTGTAATCCATAACTAATCTGATCAAAGAACATAACTAACACAATATGAAATATATCTGAATCACCCTTCTCTGTATTTTGATATATTTCAATATTTTTTGGTGGTTAGAAAGTTGGTCAAATCAACTGAGTTAAGGTAGAGAAAATAACAGATAAAATATAAATTTTTACTGAAAAAAAATGTTTAATATTAATTTAAGAGGTTTAAGAGATTATGCAAATGAAATCTGAAAATTATAAAATGAAAAACAGTATTTTTAAACTTAACATGAAAGTTATCATTTTTCTACAATGAAAATATATTTTCAACAGGTACTTACTTCTGCTCACATACATAGCTATTCTTGTTCAGTACTGCCCTCTACTTCTAAACAATTTTTCATATGCCACAAGCCTTTCACTTCTACACACCTCTCATTTCACGTTTAACTGATTCTCACATGAAAATTATCATGTGACAAACTTCCACCAATAGTAGTGCCACACACCCTTGTGCCCCCCCTCTATGATATTCTACCTAACTATCACTTCGAGTTTAAGCAGAAACGTAAGCACTGGTTGACAGTTGGGAGGAAGGGTGGGAAGTGTGAGCAGAAGTAAGTACCTGTCAGAAATACATTTTCAGTGTAAGAAAATTACAACTTTAGAGAAGGTACTTAATTACACTCATATACATAGCTAGAATCCCACGTTGAATAGGTGGAGGGACCAGTGGAAGGGATAAAATGAAGCATCCGGAAGACACCTTAACAAAGGGAACCCTTTAATAAGAGGATTATATGTGGGAGACTACACCACTTCTGTCCTAGGTATACTCTTCGCCCAGATATGGAAAAGGTGCAATAGATCCGGGTAGAAAATTGTGAGGAGCACATCCCAATGGGAGAGAAATCGGTTAGACAGTGATCCTAACTACACTATATTATAACTTCAATCTCCCTGATGAACAAACAGAATGTGGGTAAAATAAGGGATGTATCCCAAAACACAGAAAGGCTAGGGTGCAACGGACCGTACATGGCAAGCCAACTGCATCTAAAACGTAACAGCCAGGAACTGACATCCATGCAGGGGTAGGAAAGAAGATTATACCATCTTCACCTCAAGTTCAGCTAACCAGAGGGAGAAATCCCACCACCCATCTGTGAACATGTGGGCAGAGTAAAATAGAATATACATATATATCCCACTCAGATCAAACAGACTGGAACCATCTCAAATGCACTAACATCCTTAGCATAAACACATAGAGGAGTAGTGCAAGAGGAAGAAGCAGAGCATCCAACAAGTGCACCCACTGTGAACCATAAAACTGGGGTAGTGCAATCAAGGCAAATTGAGTGAGGGACCAGGGATACCCTGAATACATGTGTGAGGACTTATGTTGATTGGTTCAGCTCTATATCCAAAACTCAACTGCTGGGAACCGACAACCATGCAGGAGTAGGATGATGGATCCCAATCAAAGGGGTGAGCTGCAATTATGCCGGCACAGTACATGTGTGAGTACACTGTGCTGATTAGTTCAGTTTTAAATACAAAACTCAATTACCAGTAACTGACATCCATGCGAGGGTAGGATGAAGGATTCCAATTGGTACTACATGAATGTTCACAATATGTTGATTGGTTCATTTCTAAATCCAAAACTCAACTGCCAGGAACAAAGTTCCATGCAGGGATAGTATGAAGGATCCCAATCATTATGACACCATGCTTCAAAGCTACAACATCCCTCAGACAAGCCCATGCAGAGATGGAGTGTCCATTTGGAGAACATCTTGTTATCTATACCAGCAGAACACCACCACCTTACTTTCAACTGAACAGAGTCTTTATTGTTTATATTGTATATCTTATACAATGGAGAGGAATATTCACACCAGAAACAATGCAATGGGTGACCACAAAACACTATTTTGAAAAGCAAACCAAACCCATTTATCCAATCTAAGGAATGGCATATTTATGAAGCAAAGATATCATGAGGAATAACCCATGAATGATCTTGTGGAACCCCCCCATCTCTAGTTTGTGTGATTGTAATGAACAGTGTGCATTTCTTGGCCATGGAAATTAGGAAAGCGAAGTCAACATGGCCTTACAATGTGGGGTTTAGTTTTAAGTGATTGAAGTATATCTGGACAGGTACCACTCACCATAGAGCAGGATCCTGATCAAAACATGGGACAGGCTCCTGAAAAGTAATATATATAACAAAAGAAAGAAAACACTTACCCAGTTAGTCTCAGCAAAGAGTGAAGGATGGCAACAGGTAGAAAAAGGCCCCCTGATGAGGAAGAAATAGCTACCTAAAGCAGATAATGGGAAATGAATGTATGAGGTGTAGTCAACAAACGAAGTACCTTTAACAGACAGCGAGGCTGAGATGCAAGTAAATGGTAACGTGCCTGAACGGAGTGAAGACACTAGAAATTGATTATGGGAAAAAGGAGACAAGGAATATAAGGCCAATCGAATAACAAGCTGAACACAATGGGTCAGAGGAAGGGAAAAAAACTTAAAGAGAGGAGTGGTGCAATGTAAAGAAACTGCGAGAAATGGAGCATGTATGGGACAGAGAAGGTCATTTGAAACTGGCCGAGAATAAAGGTAGAAGATGGCAAGAAACGAAAGTGAAAAAAAGAATATTCTATATCAGCTCCCAAAGTGTAGGTTTGTAGAATCAATCCAGAATGAAAAGAATATATCGAGTCAACACAGCTGAGAAAACCAGATTTGTGCTGGCCAGAAAAGATCAATTAGAAAGACCTGACCCAGAGTGACATGGATGATCAAAATCACCTTGGGAAGAAAAGTGATGGAATGAGAAAAGCCAGGAGAATAAACTGAATCAAATCCCAACTGAACATATCAACAGCCTGGGAGAGTGGATGATGAACCAGAGATCAAAAACAATAGAGACAACTTGGAATCAAGAAAGGAGTCAAACACTTCCCATGAAGGAGTACCCCAAAGGAGTCAGAGCCACCAAAAATTTGAGGATCTGGAATGAGGCTGAAAGTACCTGGAACATGACATGCCAGGAGATACATTTCAAGTGTGAGAGTTCAAAAAGGGAGATCCACTGTCTACAAAGGAAACAAGAATGAGTGACCCCTTGAGGAATGATATAAGCCACCACCATCAAATAATCAGAATGAAACATGAAAATTAGTCAAATCCAGACAAGAGGAAGAAATTGAACTAAAGCACATTGGACTGCTGGAAGTGCAAGAGTGTTAACATGGTAAGACCATTACCCTGAAGCCTCCTGCTGATTAACCCATGCTTCCCAACTATGGAGATGAGCATCAGGGAAGAGAAACAAATCCAGATGGAGGGGGGGGGGGGAAGATCAGTAAACCTGACAAGGTGGTGGATATGTTCAACCACCAATGCATATATTCAAATATGGAATGAGGAATGTTAAGAGGAGAATCCAAAGGAACCCTAGCAAGAAGAGCCCATGGGTCGTGCAGCATCTCCTCAAAAGATTGCAAATGAGCCACATCCAAAGGTGGAAGTGCTTCCATAGAAGTCACATCCCCCAATGCATTAGAACCTAGCTGTAAGATAGTGAACCATAATGGTGTGGATAACAGAAAGCTCCATCAAATCCATTTGAGGATGAGAATGGATGATTCTGACAGAAGTGGGTGATTAAAAAGGCACTCCCCAAATAGCCAAAACTGTTAGGAAGGAGCTAACCAATTCCAGATGTCCAAGTAGTGTAAAATGCAGACCACCTGACAAAATACATATGGAACTGAAAAAAGTCTGATGAGTAAGGCACAAAACTGGTGCTAAATCACATAGCAATAAAACCTAAACTAATTTCCCGAGAAATGAAAAATAAGAATGTGTACCGAAGGCATTTTCAGTCCTGAAAAAATTGCCCACCCAATTGTGATCAAAGACTACATATTACATATGGGGAAGAACTAAGAAGTGATTGAGGCAGGCCCAATTGATCCAGGATACAAATCAGCATTGAGCATACATGACGAATGGAG